CGGCTGAGTGGAAAATGACTATATCGACAGCCGGTTCCCACGACAGTTGGGTCTACGTATGCAAACGGAGAGACCCAGATTTTGATCTGGTCAAGGACTCTTTCGGGGCAATTTGAATGCTGTTACAACAACAAACACGATCAATAGCGCCTTAGAATTTGGCTGCAACCATTTGCTGAGATAGGGCGATTTTCCAATCAGCCAGCGACATAATATAATATAAGTTTAAAATAATTTTTTGATGGTATTCGTAAACGTTTTAATGCAAACCGATCAATCCTTTTGCTTAACGACACATGGTCGGGAAAGTTCAACTTATTCTTAGTCGTTGCAGTTAACCGGAGTGTTGTAATAGCACAAAATTTACCCTAGAGTTTCCCCCAACTACCGTGGGAGCAAATTGGACGCCTTCATCTACGCTTTATAAATATAAGATATGGAACATTTGCATTAATACATTTAGGAATACTTCATGGGCTAGCATGAGACGCATATTAAATAATATTTGAAATTGTTCCGTAATACATAAACTAAAAACCATTTCGTTTAGAAAACCCGGAAAAATTTTAATATTTCATTTTATTTACATACATATACATATACAAACATATATATACCTGTACGTATATATTTTTATTAACAGTCTGCAGATAAAAGTTCTGCCACTAAACCTAAACTTTCGAAGTCTGAAGATCCCGTTATGGACGCCAATCTTCCAGTATTATATATTGAACACTGCCGCTCCTGAAATGTATTTCGCCGCCGTGCCCTTCAAGTACACGCCGATCTTCTAGGACGTTTGCGCAATTTAAAGCCCGACATAGAACTACAATTGCTCATGAATAACGAACGCCCGCCGCGTCGTGGTTCTTTTGAAATAGCCATTGCTACAAATCCTACCGAAGAGCGCCTAGAGTTGTGGTCAGGTCTAAATCGTACACCACGTGCGCAAAAGTTTCCACCAATTGATGACTTGGCTGAAGCGGCGAGTCGCGCTTTGAATCTTAAATTGGCTGAGGACACGGCATGCGGCAGCAATGAAGCTGATGTTGGTGAACAAAATGGAACATTAAAAGTGGCAGCAAAAAGACGTAAACGATCAAATTAAAAAAAAATGTAAATGCATCCGGTGCTAGTAGCATTCATGACCGGTGTTTGGTAAAATCTTTTCTCGAGAAGCTAAGCACTGCGATATTTTTGTGCTCCATGCGCTTGCTTGCAGTATATAAAATATTCAAACAAGGTAAGTATATACATACATATGTACTTATGCACGCAAGTGTATAAAGTTCGATAAACACGCATGCACGTAACCAAACGAAACCTTTCCTTCTAAGCTTACGTTGGTAGTACTACATTTGAACTTTCTACATTTGCTGAAAAGTGTTCCTGCTGCTCAGCTGCATACATTCCACTACACCCAAGCGCCATAGAGTTTCTTTAATTCTTGGAACTGTGATTCAGATGGAATCATAATCGGCGCTTCATTACCGACTTTATTCACGAAAAATTAATTTTTCTTACATATATTTACTTTCAGATTTGAATTTATTTGCAAACATATGCCATTTTCCCCCAATGGCACTTAAAACTGGCAACTATGACTAGAGTTGTTGGAAATCCATTTTAAGGAACACAACTTTACGATATTAACTTTTGCCGTTAAGTTGTCACCATAAATGGACTATGAGGGAACAAATTAGAATATCGTAAATTGTTGCTTTACTTTTGTATACTCAAAAATAAACTGCAGCTTTTAAAAACTAGTGTTTTTTTTTCATTAATTAAGTTGTCGGCCGTTTGATTACATGGCGCGCAGGAATGACCTTCAGCTGCAACTTCTTCGTTCGCGGTATCCTCACCACTCTGCTTATATAAATCGAGCAAATCTTGTAAATCCCGTTGGGCATCTATGGACTCTTGACCTTCCATGCCTTTGCCTGTGTGCCAGTGCAAATGTGCTTTACGCCTCAACATAATACCGCTGCCATCTAAAATTCGCTGCAAGAGCTTATAAATCGCTGACATTTTAAGTCCGTGTGGTGGTATGTCGCAAATAGCTGTCTTAATATTGATGGGAATCAATTCCACGAAAATGCTTAGGTTCTTGTTGCGTACATTTGTCATTAGCTAATCGACCTCACGCGGTGGCATCCGACGACGAAAAATACCCACTGCAGTTAAAAGCTTACCATGCCGTAAATCAACTGCGCATAGTAAATTATTGGATGAGAAAATCTGTTGTACCAATTCACCAACCGTGCCTTGGGTGAATTCCTTTTGCTTACATCTAACAAGCGGTGCAAATCCAGGTATGAGGAAATGCGACTGCGGAAATGGAAATGGTAATTTTTTGGATTTTTTCGATTAGAGATCTTATACGAATTTTAGTTTACATCTTATATTTTGCAAAATTTTATATTGAAAACGTTGCGTGCCTGAATTTGCTTTGAAAAAATATGTATTATTGACTGATTTATAGCTGGGTATTTTGTGAGACAGAAGAACATTTTTAATAAGTTTTGGTGCACCTTTTGAATTATTTTAATTTCAAGGATTATGTTAAAAAAGGGTGATCGTTTTATTTCATAATTTTTGATTTTTTTCTTTAGTTTGCTTGTACTTGTATAAAGTAAATGAAAAAATTTGTCTGTATCGACTGCTGAGTGGAAGATCGACCTATCTCGGCAGCCAGTTCGAAAACGCCCTAACTCAAAAAACTTTTCAAGAACGCCCTATTTCGGAATTTTATTGAAAAACACTATCTCAGAATTTGGTTGAAGAGCCCGATATTTCAGAATTCGGTTCAAAAATGCCCTATCTCACTTCAAAATGTATTGAAAGTGTGCTGATCTAGGGCGTTTTTGAATCGGCAGCTGAGATAGGGAGTTTTTAAAACGAATTCTGAAATGGGACGTTTTTGAATATCTTTTTTAAAATAGGGCGTTTTCGAACTGACTGCCGAGATGGGTCGATCTTCCACTTAGTAGTCGGTATGTTTATGGGGACGTTTTACGAAACATGGAATAAAATATTATGCTATTGTTGCTCCGAAAAACCCAAAGAAGGCAATATATTGTAGTTTCAGACATATTATTATTGAACGAAATGCATATTATTGAAGTCTTACAATATATGGAAAAAATTCAATTACTTAAATGTAAATTTTTTTCGCAAAGCGGTTTTACACACACAATGGCTGCAGATCTAAATCAACGACCTCCATACCGTTTCCTTTTATTTTCGTCTCTTCTCCATCATTGTCACATATGCTGTCACTGTGTGTACTATAATTTAGATAAATGTACTGGTATGCCATATTTACCATTCTCAAACGAGCTACTCATCCTTTTTCCCAGCTGATAATGAATTGAACAAACGGTTGACTTCATTGGCCACCAAATAGTCCAATACTACACCGTTGGCATCAATGAAGTTGGCACACGATTTGGTACTGCTTACTTCCCGTTCACCCTTGGCATCTTTAACGGAGAAAAATAACGAATATTTGTCATCGTATTTCTTCATGTCGGAGCTTGCTTCCCAAGTGCGTGGTCCATTATTGCCGTTCTTTTGTACTGCAACAACAAACGTGCCCTTCTCGCGGAATGTTGTGTGTAAAGTGAGTATGCCCATTAGCAAGAAATAGGCGATGACGCTAAATAGCAATACTGGTCGTGACTCGGGAAAGGGATGCGTGTAGTCCCAGCCATGAGCCAACACAGCAACACCCACGGCCAGTGCGCATAGCACCAGACGCGTATTGATCAAACCAAATTGTTCTTTCAGCTGCGGTCGATCGCATAAAAGGCAATTCTTTACTGCATCATCTAGTGCATGTTTTACAGCTGAACCATCCCATTTGTTTATTTTTACAACCTGTAAAATTAATTTAGATCAAGTTTAGTGCAGTTATATGTATGTACATATGTTATTTGCGGCGCCTGCGAGTTGACGTGTACAAAAAAAATAAGATCTGTACGAGTCTCCATGGAGGTAGAAACATGCCATAAAATACTTTCGACTCACCTCAATTTCAGGCAGTGGCTTTTCTTCCTTTTTATTGGTCATTTGAAAGCTTAATAACTCAACAACTCGAAAAATGCAAAAATTTGTGTGGCACAGCGTATAATTGAGGACACGACAACAAAAATTTGCCGCTTGACAGATCTCAACGTGGTGTGTTCAGTGATTGCTAAGGTGAAAAGCTGTGTTTACTAAGTACACGCGATTAGGGTCGTATTTTGAATTGTAGTCGGAATGTGGAGAATCATAAAAACAAGGAAGTGGTTTAATTTTGATATACATTTCCAGCGGAAATTACGATGACTTGCCTTCATCATAGAAATGAATTAACTATAAAGTATATATTTATACATATTATGTAGATGAAAAAACTAAAATATTTGAACGAAAACAAATGCTTAGGGGTAAGCTATCATTATATTCTGAATATCTTGCTTGCTTATTTGTAGTACACGTTTGTATAAAATTAAATAATGCGGTTTAGAGTCTTAATTGATGGAATAACTTAGTTTCTCGATTTTTATCACTTATCCTTATAATGCCTTCATTTGCGCAAACAATTCATCTAAATCCACATTAGAAGTTGCGGCAACTGTTGGTTCATCTGTCGCTATATTATCAGGTGCATCATATGCTAGGCGCAAGCCCGCAGCAACATCACTACCAGCCATTACTGAGGTTGCACCTCCGGCAGCTGGCGAATCATCCACCAATTCAATGCCCCATTCATTTGTTTCGTGCAGTGGCGCATCATCTACTACAACACTCTCTTCCACAGCAGCTTTTGGGCGTGCCTGGTATTCCTTTTGACGTTCCTGGCAGTGTCGGTCATCACATTGAGTATTTGGTTTCAGACTCATGCGAGGAAAGAAATCATTCATTGCATTATAACCCAAATAGTCCGATACTTCACCGAAGTTGAGCAAATACTTGAGTGTATTTTGCACTAACATGCCTGCTGTTATACCCATTGTAGTGGGCAGTGAAGCGGCACATACTCCTTCACGTTTCAACGTTTTCTCGTCAATATTTTCCGCCACCACTAAGGGGGGAGCGCAACCAAAACATGCAGTTTCACCTGGGCGTATGAATTGTATGTGTCCTGATACCGCATTCTCGGAAACGCCAGATTCGAACCAATTTAGACCTAACTCATTACATGCAGTATTGATTGCCATACGAGCTTCAAAGTTATCAACGCAGCTTAAGACAAGATCAACTGGCGTTTTTGGCTGAAGGCCACCATGAGATATTGTATTTAGGAATTTATCGAATGACTCCACAGTAGTTATGTTATAGTTGTGCGTCTCAATGCGTACATCGGGATTAATGAAGGTTAGAGTACGCGCTGCAGCCTCCACCTTAGATAGGCCAGCCTGGTCGGGGGTGAAAAAATAACCGATTCATGTTGGCCAACTCTACTTTGTCGTAGTCGAAGAGTATAAGTTTTCCGATGCCACATCTGGTATATAGAAACATTTCAAAAAACATGCATAGATGCAGGCAATAGAAAACACACTGACCTTGTCAACATATCCGCCGTAACGCTTCCTACGCCACCAACGCCCACTACAGCAACGGTTTTCTCACGTATACGCTCATATTCCTTAACGATCCCCATACGCTGAAGTGCCATAAGGCGACTATAGGGATTGGAATCAACCACTTCCGCGGACATTTTTTCGATGCGCTCTCGTGCAGCTTTTGACGCATTTCTTTGGTGCTCTAATTCAACTTTTAGTTCGGCGATTTTCGCCTGCAATTCGTCGATGGCAGACATATTCAATTGCTTTCAATTGCTATTTTAGTTCTAGTTGATATCCAGTTGAGATTTGGAATTTGTTTGCGTGTCACTTTCGCTGGATTGCGTCAAATTGAGCAGCTGTTTATTTGTTTTGTTATGAATGTTTCCGTAAAAGAGTGTATGATGAAAGTCACACAAAAGAATAGATAAGAAGCGGAAATGCAGATGTTTGTCATAATAAACGGAAATCGGTTCAAATTTCACAGCAACTGATTTCAATGTGAAAATAAAATAGACACTTGCGGCCATTAAAATTGCACAGCGTTAATTGAGCTATACATGAAATTTATTTAGGTATTTTTTTAATTTCACCATGATCGTGATCAGAAAATAACAAACAGGGTATTCATCTGAATGCGTAAATGCATCGTAACTGTGTAAACCTCGTAAATAAACCGGTTTTCCGTACAAAACTAAATAAGCTTACGAGGGTTACGTGGATGCGAGCCTTTTAAGCGATTAGATGACCTAAAATAAAATAAAAATTATTTTGCTATGCTCAAAGAGGGCAACGTGGAGGCAAAAATGTGAGTCAAAGAAACACTGCCCGTTTGATTAAATGCATCATAATCAGTCAAAAAGTTAATTTTAGAATTTTTTGCTAGTTACAGCCTTTCAGGCAGGTGACGATATGTATGTACATATGATTTCAAAAGTATTTGCAAATGTATTGGTATTTTCGGAAATATATGTATATCGTCGATGTTTTTGCAAAACCGCCCATCGACCAATTGCAAAAGCGCGTATCTTACGACACTCAAATTTTACAGGAGAGTGAAAAAACCGGGTTTCTTTGAAGGCATTGCCTTGACAGGCGGGATTTTCTTAAGCTATTATTTTACATATCTGTTGTTTTAATTAGGTGTGGAACAAACCTAATATTTAAATTATTTTGTAAAATTATTTTGCATTTGTGATTCTGGGCAGTTTTGGCACGTGTTGACACATTTTTGACACTTGTGAGAGAGTAACTTACTTTTACGTTCTAATTACCGAAACAGCCCGGAAAGCGTTTGGGACAAAGCTATTATTTTGCAAGTATTTTTAATATTTATGGCTATTAATATGCTGGGCACCTGGACAATGCGGCTTCATAGGTAACGATGCCGCCGACTAACTGGCTAGGGAAGGCTCATCCTCTGTACTTGTGGGACCGGAATCTTTTTATGGACTCAGTTGATCCTCCTCGAGACTCATAACCCAAATGTGGGTAAACTCAGAACGCAGTAAGTATTTGGGGAGAGACTTTTGGCTTATTCTTTTGGTAGGAAGGATATACATAAATCCTTTAAATAGAGCTAACATCAAGTTGCTTATTGGTTGCTTAGCCGGTTATAATCACCTGAGCTCTCACATTCACCGAATTGGCGCATCCACATAGGCGGATTGCCGTCTTTGTCATGAAGAGGTGCAGACGTCGTGGTACATTACTCTGAGCAACAATTGCAGGGTCGTTGTCTGGGAGTGGAATGATTTCAACTCAGGATAAGAGTCCAAAACCCTTATAGTGAAACCTCCAAATCTTTTTCCATTCTCAGATCAAAATTTTTGGCCGTATTAAGTTTGCAATTTTTTGTTTGAGTATTTTTAGAATAAGTGGAGAAAGGATTAAGTCTCTTGTCTGTACGAAATATTTATGTAGTTTATGGGCATATATGTATAAGTTAACGCGGAATAATTTTGTAGAACATTTTAATCCATTAGCTCTCTACAGGGTAGAAAGTTTTCAAACTAGAGGAGGTATTTATTTAATTGTTTTGTATAAGTAAAAATTGACCCGTTCTAATACAGATCCAGTTTATTATCTAATCGTTGTTTAAATAAATAGGAAATTGCAGCTATTACACCTTTACAGCAAGATTTTATTTGGTTTCGTATTTACATATGCACTTCGAATGTGCATTTATGTACATTAGACTGCATCACTCCCCATACAAAAAAAAAATCGGTACTATTTTTCCATTGGGATTATAAAATCTATTATATTCTAAGACGACCACCAAAATATTTCGGAAAAATATTAAGATTTAAGTGAGCTGGACCGATTTGAAAATACCTCCAAAAATACCTCCAAGAATAGAATAAAAATAGTTTCTTAAATTTTTTTTTGAAAAAATCCCCTCAAATGATAAAACGGTTTAAGCTTAAAATATTTGCATAAAAATATTAAAAAAAAAATTTAAAAAAATTTTGAACGGAATCGTAATGATGAGATTTTTGATGCTGTTTTTTAACTTTTTTCAAAGATTGGTATAGAAAAAACTTGAATAACTGAACCTAAACTCTTCCGATTTAGACTTAAGAGGTGTCATTGGAAAGGTATTTTCTCACCCTTTTTATGATGCAAGATGGGACACGAATGACGTTTTTTTGGCCAGAAATAAAAACAGTGTGAAAATACCTTTCTACTGAGATCCCATAAGTCTACATCAAAACATTTTTGGCCCAGTTATTCAAGTTTTTCGTAAACCAATCTTTGAAAAAAGTAAAAAAACAGCATCAAAAATCTCTTTCTTACGATTCCGTTGAAAAGATTTTTAAATATTTTTATGCAGATTTTTTAAGCTTAATCTAATTTGTGATCTGAGGGGACTTTTTTCAAAAAGTTCTTTAAGAAACTATTTTTATTCATAAAAAACTTCATTATTGGAGGTATTTTCAAATCGGTCCAGCTCGCTTAAATCTTAATATTTTTCCGAAATATTTTGGTGGACGTCTTAAAATATAATAAATTTTGTAATCCCGGTGGAAAAACCACAACTTTTTTTGGTGATGCAGTCTAATGTACATACATATGTGTATGTATGTATGTATGAATATATATATATACGTACATATATGAATAGCAGCCATCAAAATTACTACACAGTTACTATTTATGAGCTTGCATCAAAGATAAACTCGGTTGTAAATTTATTTATAAGAAGAATGATGTGTTTTTAAAAAATACAAGTAAAAATTATAGCACTTTAGGAGCGGTCATAAATATGTATGCATAAATAATGTGAAATACCCGAGAGTTGCAGTTGTTATCTCTACAAAGCTGGTGAAAAGGCAAAATCCCAAAGCTTGAATCGCCTTGTCTGGAGAACGTTCCTCAGTAGCTTTCTTGTTACTCCTCGACCATATTAACCTTGAAACTTGACAGCCGTCTCGCTGGTCCATAGATCACTTATCCGCCTTTTTGATCTGCATTTCCAAACCTTGTCTAACCATCTCATCGGCTATTTAGTTCACTGCGTCATTGCTAAGTACCCGTAAGTCCAGCAACCCACCACGAAAACGGCATTGAGGTGACCAAGTAATGATAGCGATACGCGACCTTCCTAACAATTCTTGTACATATTCACCAATTTGGGTCATAAAGCTTTTAATGCCACTTGGCTATCAACGAATAGAATAAGAGACCTGCAGTCATCATTCCGGAGATATGACTACTTGTAAGACCTCCGATTAGAGACCCACGCCGATGCCGTTTTCCATTTTTGAGTAATCGATTTAGTTGCTAATAGCATAATTTCACGTCGTAAGGCCAGCATCGCAATCTTCCCTAGTTGGAAATTTCCTGAATCCTGAAGTCAAAGTCGCAGAACGACATAAAGTAATCAGTACCGTCATCCAAGTTAGTTTTGATCCTGCTTTGTCGTTCTCATTTAACTTCACCCATCTTCGACTTGTTTCCACAATTTTGATTCCCTTAACTTACACCCAGAAAAAAAGTCAGGTGAATATATTTCTCTCACCAAATTGGTTGGTTATATATAGTTACATTATTTGGCCATAGTTACCCAATCTTGTGTTGAGAGAAATATTTATAGCTGACTTTTTTCTTTTTACGACACCGTTGTGAATACCCCAATTATATTTCACTTTTAATAACAGCTAGCTTCCAAATTGATTTATGTACAAAACATATGTATGTATGTATTAGTATCCACATACACCGATCCTTTAGAAATTTAATTATCTTAAAAATTACGCAATAAATAATCTCACAATGTATGTATGCATGTATGTATCTATGTGTGTAAAGACGACTAAACGAATAAATAGAAAATAATTAATTTAATTAATTCTACTTTAAAACCGTCTTTTTGGTATTTGGTAAAAATGCAGACATAATTCCAGCAGCTGAAATAAAACCACGAAAATTGAATTAATTCAAGTTAAAAAAATATTTAATAACTGATGATTTGTAATATTTAACTTACACCACATTACGAAGGTGAGCATGATGAATGGTGGAATGCAGCCGAGAGACATGAAAATGGGGAAAAGTATGTTACCCAATATTGAACCCATGCGACCAAACATCATTGCCAAAGACACAATCATTGTTCTGTAACGAATTTTTTCAAGAATCGAAAGTATACAACCTTATTATCTATTTCGAACATTGGTTGATTCCCAGTGTTGCCGTTGAGAATTTTTAGAAAGTCGCAAAAAAAGTGTCATTGACGAAAAAAGGGCCACCATATTATTTTTGCTTTTCTTTACTAGTAGAAGGATAAATCTGTTGAATTTAAAAAGAAAATAGCGGAACAAGCTTTACACAAAACAGTATGTTTGAAAATACATAAATCTAGTTGCTGAAAGGAGAAGAATTGCATTTCCTTTAGAAGTGCATTTTTTCGTACTTCTTTTCTGATAGAATGGTTCTGTTAACATTTCCTAAAAAATCTCTGAAGAGGGCAAAAGTCGCACATAATTTTGGAAAAGGGTCGAAAAATCAATATTTTCAAAAAGTTGGGTCAAAGGGTATTGACGCTTAAAAAGGGTCAAATTGCCCCTTTAGTCGCACAACGGCAACACTGGTGATTCCAAATAAGTTAAAACCAAAGATCGCTTAACTCACCTCAACGACGTGGGAAATAGATCGACCGATGAGCTGAGAATGGACATAGCTGATATGCTACCCAATGTCACAGAAATTGAAGCGAGAATGGCAGTACTCAAAGAAGATACTGAGAAATAAAGTCCGATTTCGCAAAGTCCTGCGGATACTGTACCGATGGCTGAAAGAAATGATGATCAAACTAGTATAATGATTTCGCTGCCAGTCGATAATATTCCAAAACACTTACTCAGCAATATTTTACTGCCGATGCGATTAACAATAAAACCAGCTAGTAGATAGCCTATAAAGCCAGCAACTGCTACTGTTATATTATTTGTATAGGAGGCGGCTGTGATGACCTTCATACATACATACATATGTATAAGATAAAGAAGGAAAGTTAGGGAATTAGCAAATGAATGTATGACTAAGTGAGCTATTTTGTAACGAATTTCCGTCATCACTTGTCAAATTAGGCACTACCCTTAGGCTTAGGCGGTCTGACTCCAAATTAAGTTTCACAAGTTTTGGCGGAAATTCGTTCTCTTCGTTCGTGATCTTCTCAGCCTGTCGAAAGTATCAACCAACACCAACCCCCAAACTAAATCTCTATCAACACTCGTTAACTCACCACTTGACATTGTCCCAAAGCCGAATCTATTATTTGTGTATGCGTCTTATTAACGCTGTACTCCAAGATGGTGCACATTGTAGCACTCTCAGTGCCGTGTAGCTGTTCGTATTCCTCAATCGAGGCAAACATTTGTGGCACCCATAGACGCAAAGTATTTTGACTAAAAGACAAATATTAAAAGTATGTATATACTTATTTTTTATTAGAATGTATGACACACATACGCATTAGGGTGGTTCTTAAAAATTCTACGTAAAGACTTCCACGAATATTTCAAAATTAAATAAAATCAGGTTTCGCTACCTGGGTTTGAACAAAATTGATGTTTGTTTTTTATTCGGCAAAATTTAAAAAAAAAATTGACATTGCGCAGCTATAACTCAGTGAGTTTATGAATTTTAATGTTGAAATTTTCGAACTTTCTCGATTTAAAAAGAACTTATATTTTTTAAACTTTCTAAATTTTCGCGGATGTCTTCATTTTGTACGCAGAATAAAATAAATGGGTGCTCCATGCAAAACTTAGATGTTGATATTTTAAGGTCCAGCCTAATGAATATGTATAATAATAATAAAAAAAAATTAACTTACCCAAACAAAATGGCGAAGTTCATCAGATAGACGCGTATAGATAGGCCGAGATAGGGTTTCATTAGCAAAGGGCGTAGCTGTTGCAACCCCTGACGAAGGCCTACAGTTGGCTTCTTTTCCTTTGTGGACACATTAGGTGTAGAGGATTTCTCTTTCGGTGCTGCCTCTTCAATTGTGGCTATGCTAACTGTCGATGCATCACTTGTCTTTTCAGCGGCGAGTTGTTCGTTGACGAGTTCTTTAATCTGTGGAACGAATCAAAAGCAGCGGAGATCGTACATAAATACCATTTTCATGGACGATTTTTTTTATTTCGAAGAATATGATGGTATGAATGTAGAATATTAAATGTAAAAAGATTCCTGTGACAAAAAAAAGCTTCGACCATAAAGTATTTAATTCTCCGCCAATGCTGGTATTTCACTGAATTTAGAATTTTTTCTATTAAAAAAACTGCAAGTTCGGAGTTAGTCTAAAATCGCATTGATTTTTTAGAACTTTTTTGTTGAAGGTGTTTTGCATTTTTTGTAAAGTATTTTCGAAAAACATAAAATGTATACTTTGTTATAACAAAATTGCTTGGGCTACAAATCTGCATACTCCAAAAAATTCTAAAAAATCTGATTAAAAAGTTGAAAATTTGCATGAAAATTTGCTTAATTTTCGTGAGTTTTGCATAAAGTTTAGGAATTATATTTTTATGTTTTTTGTTTTAGAATGAACCATATATTTATAAAAAAATTGGCGGAAAAATACTAGAAAAAAAAAAGTTGTTGCATATATTGGGAAAAATTTGCTGTGCCAATACCTTTTGCCGGCAGTGTAAATAAGAGCGTTGAGCAATATTATCTGCCGCCTAAGGTCCACGCAACGCTACCGCTCTGGTGTACATTTAATTGTTCAGTGATCTTTGAACACAATTTAAGTCGGGCGACCATCTATGTATGTTATGCGCTTAAAAGCGAGAGATAGAATAAGACACCCTTCACGCATGTATGAATTAAACCCCAGAATTTAAAACTCAACTTAGAAATTTTATCTATTTCTATTGTTATCTTAGCAAAAGTTATGATTTTGCTTTTGTATATATGTAAGTGTGCGATTATCTTAGTTTGCCGTAAAATTGAATATAATAAACAATAAATAATTTCTTACCGGATAATCTTCACGTTTCTTACGATAATTAAGTGCATATATTCGCTGAAAAACCCGCAATGCCTCTGCATTTCGACCCTGAGACATTAGGAACTTTGGGCTCTCGGGAAAAAAACTGAGTAACGTGCCTCCAAACAGACAAGGTATAGCGCTTATGGCCAAAAATACTTGCCAAGAGTGAACTATAGAAAAATTAAGCAAAGAAAAAATATTAAAAATACACATGCGTAAATTAATTGCAAAGAAAATGAAATCGATACAAAATACGTGTATGTGTACTCACATTGCAAACCCAATAGCTGGAAATCCCAATGGCTGGGTAAAACACCCAGTGCAACTAGGGGAAGTGATATGTTGCCCACTGAAAACATAAGTCCCACGAACATAATAACACGGGAACGATGTTTTTTGCCATGTAACTCCGTTAAGTAACTCATTAGGACAGCGAAAGGACCACACATGCTGTTGAAATTATAAATTGCGGTACATTTTAATGGAACATATTTAAAAAAAAATTTCATATAACATACATAAATCCTGAGATATATTTGAAGACCATCAGCTGTATGACATTTTGACTGCAGGCACCACCTAGTACGGATATAATATTACTCAAATAACCGAAGACGAGCAATTTTTTGCGACCCTTCGTATCCGCGAAATAACCCCACACTATCGCTGAAGAAATCATGCCTGTTGAGTATTTTTAACAAAAAAGGGAAACTTTTAAATTTTCATACGAGTATTAATCATTTCATAAATGTGTAGGTACATAGTGTGTATAGTAGAACGGGTCAATTGGTATGGGAGACTTTTTGAACTATGCGGGTAGGGCACAGCAAATTAGCCGAAGAACCCACCTTGTCAAATTGTGTAAAGGTAAGGTAAAAAATTTTCACATTTTCTACATTTTTTTCTTTTTTCATACAACAAAATTTCAAAGAAAATATAAGAAGTAAAATTTTCTTACACATTTCCATGTTACCAGTTCTCAAGAAAAACAAAAAAATCGTATAAATTGACGCACAAGAAATGGAAAAGAATTTTTATTTTATCAAAATTTCTTAAATCAGTTTGCATCCCTAAACAAAAAATGCTAGTATATTTATTACATCAAGAAAATTTACATCAAAAGCAAAGTATTTTTCAAGCAACAGAACTAATGAAAAATATTTCTTGTTATTTTTCTTGAGAGCTGGATTCCAAGCTTTAGTTTATACTTTTATTGTATTACATAATTACATTTTCTCAAATTACACTGTAGGAAAAATCTCAATTTTTGAAATGACACAAAAAAACGTAATCTTTATAAAAAAAATTCAAACTTTAACAAGGAAAAAATTTACCAATTCACCAATCTTTTGTTATTTTTTTTTCATATACATTAAAGCCTGTTCTTGCGCAAAAAAAAATCAAGCCACTAACGATGAAAATCGATGGATAAATAAATAAGTTGTGAATGGTCAAATGAAAATATGCAATATTTTCTCTGTATGAAATAGGAGCAGGAAATAATGTCACTCACTCATGCGCCATATCGTACATGGCGTATGAGTAACATTTTCCATGTTAAAGTCTGAATTTTTTCAATCGCAAGACCAACTTAAAATGAAAATGTGTTGGGAAAACTGAATTGATTTAAAATAAAATTTATGTGTCTCGGCGTTGTTTTTTTTTTTAAATTAATTTCATTTTAATTTTAGCGTCCCTACAGTGTAATCTGACTTCTTAGACTTGTAAGTATGGTTTTGGACTTTCAATATTTTGGCCAAAATAAAATAGTCTACACACTGCACACTCTCAGTCGAAAAAATGTGAATTATATTAACACAATTCCTATCAATTTGTATACTCACCCAAATATGTGATTGCATTCAAAAGCCCCTTGTCAAGCAGTGTCAATTTGAGATCACACTCAGCGCTCGGCAAGATATATGACATCGTCGAGGTCTCCACCACTGTGGCTATAGCAGCGGGAAGCGCAGAAATTATCAACAAAATATTGAAAGTACCGAAACCTGCCACTTCCATGGCGGTCTCAAAATCTGCTGGCACATCTTTAATAGGCGGCTCTGGTGGCTTTTCAGACGATATATTTAAATTCGTAAGTGTTTCGTTCAGATTCTTGCCTTCTATGGCGCGCGATTCTGCAGAGGGAAAAATGTCCATTACGTAAACCAATTTCACAATTTCATTTGAAATCACTCTATATTTACATACATATGAACATATATACATATATGTATGATAAATGCAATTTACCAGGCATTTTGTTTGTTGTCGCATCTATAGCCATTGGAATTACTTTATACAAATTTTTTTCTTCTTCACTTTAAATTGTATTAAATCACTTTTCACAGTTCACCTCTTCAAATAAATATATTTCACTACGAATTTTTCATGAGTCAATGCCCGAACTTTCGCACTTCCCAATGGGACTGCTTTGTCTGAAGCGATCTCCTTTTCGGTGGCATCTTTTGTACTCCTTTACATTGTGGTTTTTGTTATTTTTGTGCTGATTAATTTGTTAAATTATATTTGTTTTGTAGACAAATATTTAAAACATCAAGATTAGCGCCAGTATTTACATATATGAGTGAGGTATGTACATACATACATATGTATACGGTGACATATATGAGTACGTACTAATGTGATGTAGTATTTCCCCATCTAAATAGATTACCTACATACATATAGTACACATACTCGTAGATATCGTAATTGTTCGCAGGCGGCCAGCCACGCTTCTCAGAGGTGCCTTTAACAATCGCAATCGTACACACGCATGCACATGTATCAAATATATAAATATGTATGTATGAAGCTTGATCAAATCTTAAATAATTTAATTAATAAAGTTGTGTTTATAGGATTAAGGTGCCAGATAGCTTTGGTCCCAGTCGAATTTCATCATTAACCCTGTTTCCGGATATTTGGTTGGAACTTAGAGTTAATTTTAAGGAGCTTGCAAATACAAATTTTTAATTTTTTTTAACTTTCATTAAGATAACATCTTAAACTAGTCCTATTAACGATTAAAAATATAAAAATATCATATGAGAATTCAGTTAATTATTGCTTTGAAGAGAAAATGGCCTCACTCCAGAGATTTTTTTTCAAATCTCCACAGCAATGTAGTACATACATATGTATATAGATAAATATACACTTCATACATACATATGTATTTGGTACGTTGAAGTCAAATAGTAACAATTGTTAGACATTTTACGTTGTCATGTAAGAAGATAACATTTGGAAAGATTACGCTGCTACGCTAGGGCAGGCACCTTGCCGTTGGTGCGGGGACTTAGTCGAATCACAATCAGACCTTAACAACGGCTGGTAGTGTAATTGTGTCTCTACCTCCGGCTACTGTGCGAGTGCACTCCATTTCCTATGGTTCGGGCTGCTTGTGAACGATGACCAAGAACTGCCGACCACCTAATCCAGGGTGTTAGGCGACACCGTGCCCATTGGAAGGTTTGCAGCCAGGGGGTTTACCAGAGCGGCTGTATTTTAACGGCGCCTTCCTGAGACCGGGTCGCCTCAGGGAGGCATGGGGCGCTGCTGTGGTGGACCGTTTGAATTCCCCTTATTACGACCTAGACTACTGCGCCCACCTCGTCGGGTAGGTGGTCGTACGAACAAGATGAACACACAAAAGCAAAAACCAAACTAAAAACCAAACCAAAATCAAAACCCAACCAACAAAACTTCGAGTGATGGAAGGGATTCGAAGCCAATCCCTCTCTTCTGCTCCTCTTTAAAGTAGGCGGAATTGACTCCTGAGCAGGGTGGGGCAGTTGCTGCTGCGGCGTGCAGTAAGGGCTCGGAGCCGACCTCTTCGTCTGCACTTGCTGTTTTCAACTGTCGTTGCTTGAGCTCATCTACTCTTTTGCCAGAGAGACAGGCCACTAATATCTTATTTAATGAAGAAGAAAAGGAAAGATACATTTTTCGACGTAACACACTTATCTACCAAACAAAATTCTACGTAATTCGCAGCAGAATATTTTTAAGTAGATCTTTATGTAAATAAATGAATACTACGATTCATGAAATCTTATCATGATACTCTAGCGAAGATGTGACGTTTTTTCGCGGCAGCTGTGTGGGATTAAAATAGTCATAAACTAAACAAAGTCGTGCTGTTAAAAAAAATAAGAATTTATAAATTTTTCCACAATAGCCACTGCTTTAAACGATTGTTCTCACTCGGCGACAGTTTTTTTTTTTTTATTTATGTTTACTTTAATCCCGAGTGCAAGAAATGCTATTTATGTATATTTCTGATATGGCATGGTGACATACATACATACATATATCGTCGCCTGGGTAAAACATTGTCGTAAGCGCCATTTTGATGATTTTGAGTTATAGATGCAGGTTATTTTTTTAAATATGATCTTTCGATTGGTGTTATTAGTTTTTCGATATCTCGCTATTTCCGAGATATTCAGTATGATTTTTTGTTGTTTGTGTAGACGATGTTGCAGATACGACAAATTAACAATTTTTTCTTGTAACTAAAATATTGTCGTGTGTGCAAAATTACTCGCAAATCCAAGAAATTGCGCAAAAATTTAGCGAGCCTAGACATTCTTCTTTACAGCAGCTTGATAGTGTTGTGGAGGTAACATATACACCAAAATGCTAGGAAAGGAGCGAGAAATCTAGTGAGCCATATCTGCTCGCCCGATCGTCAGTGCACACGATACCTCTAGTATAATATAAGACATCTCAATTTGTTGTGGAGGTTGCTCTTGACCTTGGTAGGCTGGCTTTGAAAATGGCTGAAATCGTACCGAAACCACGCATACCTCCCATTTAACGGATTTTTTTGTGTGTTTCAACAGCTGCTGGAGCTAAATCGCTCAAATTTTACATAAGCAAAAAATAAATAAAAATTTTCTTCGATAAGACTCCACTTTGTTGGCATGTTTCTCAAGTCTTACTAGTGAAAACTCTCCCAGACTTCCACATGTGGAGAGTGGCCAACTACTTATGCAGGACATTAATGAGGTATTCCACGGATTACATTAGAATTAGAGCAATAATAAAGAGTAAGAAAATTAATTTAAATTTTTCGATACCGAAATTTATCGAATCATCAAATTTATTTATCGAAATTTATCGAGTTATCGCAACGTATCGAACTGTTCAAATTAATCAATGTTTATTGAGTTGTCGAAATTTATGGCTAGTTATCGAGCTTTAAAAATGTATGGGAAATTTTTCAAGTCAAAGAAATTGATCAAGTTATCGATATTTACTGAATTATCGTAATTTATAGACTTAATGGAGTTTATCGAGTTAACGTAATGTGTCGAGTTCTTTAAACTTACTGAGTTATCGATAATTATTGATCTATTGACAGTGGTCGATTTATCGAATCGAATTTTATGGAATTTTCAAAATATATCGATTTGTCGAAAGTTCAAGGTTATAAAAGTTTATCGAGTTATCGAAATTTTTCGATAGCTTTCAAAAAATATGGAGCGTCAAAATTAAAAATTTATAAAGGTTTCCAAAGTATATAAATTTTTGAGTTATCGAAATTTATCGAGTTTTTGAAATTCATAAAATTATCGATATGTATCAAATCATTGAAATTTATCGATAAACTGCAATGTATCGGGCCGATTCCAAGGCCTGCCGAAGTCCTTAAAAAATATAAAAAATTGTAGTGACGTTTTAGTTCCAAAGCAGAAGATTTTCCGGTAAGTTACTTTGTACCTTATAAGTTTAGCTACATGCGTGTTAAGTTAGGAAACCTCTCCAAGGCTCTTAAAAACCAGAAAAACGGTCGAATTTCGACAGTAACTGGCACTCTACTATTTATTAAACGGTTAAAATTTAAATGTACTGTTGCGCCTGAAACTTTACGAAAGATCCGCAGCCACGAAAGTAATTTACATTTTTTTTTTACTTACAGCAAATTGCACAAAAAAAGACGAACACTAATTTTTTTGTAATTTAAAATTTTATTTAATTTATTGTTTTTATAATATGGAACAATACACAATTTAAAGATTACATTTTGTGATTTGGTTTGGTTTTGGTGTGGAAGTTTCACCGTTTTTTTTTTTGCTTTTTCTTTTTGTATTTTTTAGACTTTGTTTTTCATTTTCACTTAAATGTTGTTGCTTATTTTAGTTAATAAAAGTTGTTGCAGATAATGCTCGAATACACAAACATTTAAACTATGCATGTACATATGTGTATATGTATGTATGTATATATAAATGTATATATATAATATGTATATATATTGAATGTATATATACTTTATATGCATGTATATGTAACTAATATATGTATGTAGGTATTTATGTATATAAGCATGATTTCATTTACTCTCACTTCACAAATTTAGTTCTTTTAGTTGATAAGTTTTGCCCCTTCAAATACAATTTTTTGTGGTTTATAATACATATTTCGTTTTGCCTAGCTTAGAGTTGTTTTATTTCATACATTTTCAAGGTAATGGATTTGTGGATTTGAAAAATATACGAGTGAGCACCAACGGATTGGTAGCATTCCTTGTTTTTTTTTAATAAATTTATTATATGTAAGTATTTCATTTGATTTTATTGTATTTCATTTTATGTCATTTTAGCTTTTTAGTTTTTTTCACCAAAGACAGCTCAGTAGGGAACCGTCACGCTTGAATAAGCTTTTATTTTATTTAATTTTTTTTTTGCTTTGGTTGATTTGTAGTTGGTAATCCTAGTTTGAAAAATACTTGTCACATATTTTTGCTTAGTTTTTATAATTTTTTACTGATTTGTTTTATTTTTTATTTTTTTGTTTGGAGTATAGAAACATGTATTGTATGTATTATAGCACGGAATAATGTACTAATAAATATATATATATACACACAATACAATTTAAGCATAATTAATATATATGTAAGTACGAGTATATTCCCAGTGTAGATGAGTATATTTAGTTACAAAGGACTAATTGTATTGTTAGTTGGCTACATTCACTGCTTTCTTTTTTCTTTCGTTTTTCCTTCATTTTGTTTTTGTCCTAGATGTTTTTATTACAATACGCCTAAGAGCAGTATAGAATATTAAGACTTAAGCATTTATTAAAAAAAAAAGAAATGTAATACGGTGGAACCTCGATATAACAACGAACCTTGATAAAACTAAAAACACAACATAATAAAATCTTTGCTGAGTCCCCTAAAAAACGCCCATAGATATAATGAAGAAATTTTGGGCATGAAAACCTTCAGTACCTATGGTTAGTGTCCCGTTAGAAAAAAAACCTCTTCATAACGAAGTCGCTACTCAAAAGTTGTTGGTTAGAGTCCCGTTATTATAGAAATTAGACGGATTTTTCATTCCAAAATTTTAAATTTTTCGTTGTATCGAGGTTTTGATATTCTATAAATATAACGAAGCATTTGTCAAACCCCCTCGACTTCGTTATATCGAGATTTCACTGTATTGCAATTATTTTTGAGCGCATAACCCTGAATAAAT